TATATATATATATATATATATATTCTTTTTATATTAATATATTTAAGGTATTTAGATTTATTTATTCATTTCTTATATTTTTTAGCTATTTATTTATATATTTATTTTATTCAGTTTTTTATTTGGTTTTTTTTATTTTATTTTTTTATTTTTTTTTTTTTATGTTTTGCTATGAAGCAATAAACTTTTGCTTATGTATTTTTAGCTAAGTAGTTATTTAATTTTTTTTTTATTAATTTTAGCCATTCATTTTAATATTTATTTTAGATATTCATTTCAATATTCGTTTTTATTCATTTTTTTATATATCTGTACATATATATGTACATATATATCTACATATATTTTAGTTGCTTTGCTATCTAGCACCACCTCAACAACGCATTTCCCTCTAATTCATAAAACAAATATAACGTTTTTTTTTTTTTTTGGTTTTTTAATAACTATTTACAACTTGCACATAATATAATAGTGTTTATAGCGTAGGAACTTAGCCAAAGTTAAATACTAAACAGAAAAAAAAAATTGAAAAAAAATGTGGTTGACTTAAAGTTTATATAGTAATTTAAAGCTCGAACTGCTTTGCTTGATGTTTTGACTATTGTTCATCTTGGCACTGTGAAGAACTGGTTCATTTGCTGCTGGTTCGCGCTTGTGGTTCATGCATATGGACTGTACAAACACAAGCGGAGAGTAGATGGCAGCTCTGCTGCTGTTGGAGGTCTTAATGAACTAGTTCATTTGGTTGCGACAACAACACGGAGTGAACTAGTTGCAAGCGAATCCACTGGCCAAGCACTTCACTTCACTCCACTCCACTCCACTTCACTTCACTTCACTTCACTTTACTTCCATCGTCCCCAACCCATTCCCCTCGTAGCCATCTCCAACTCCATGCGCCGCTCACTCCGACGGCTGCTCCACATGACGCCGCGCCCTGGGCATGGCCACGTCCAGGGATCGATCCACATACGCAAAGTTGTCCACAACGCTCGAGTAGAGGACACCGCCCATCATGGTCAGGGCACCGACAATGGCAATCTTGGACCACATGCTGTCTACGTGTGTGTGTGTGTGTGTGTGTGCGTGTGTGTATTTGTTTGTTAGCGACAACTCGAGCTAGTCGACCCGACTGAAGATATTAGTGTTTGCAATATGCGCGGGACGCTCGCCCTGCATGACGCTTTATATAGCGCCGGCCCGGCCCAGCGGGAACCGTTCCAGGCCTTGGCAGTGACGTCGCCGATGCCGCAGAGCTTTCGCGCTCTATGTGCGGCTGGTCACGTCGGCCGACCCCTTGCGCCAGAAAAGCTCCCCAGCCACAGTCTAGCCACACACATAATGCACTTCCTTCACTGCCGCCGGCCGCCTACTCATTATCGATCAGTCGATAAGAACGTTTACCAAAGCTTTTCCCATGTGTATGTGTGTGTGTGTGAGTGTTTGCATGTTTCTTTTTTTTTTTGCAATATTTGTATTTGTTTATTGGCTCAGTTCTGTTTATCAAGATCTCTTAATCTGGCCGCGGGTGCGTATGTTTCGCTATTTGATTATGAACTCACATATATTTAGACAAGCTATCATAATAGAATAAACATGTTTTCAGTTTTGTTATTGTTTACGCGGCTATATATAAGTTTATAGCTCGATTTGGCAGCCAGGCGTTATTTGCCAATTTTCGTAAAGGTGTTCTTGCTAAATAGATTCGATAAATTCCTACAGAAGGAGAGAGTGAGTGGAATGGGTAGAGTAAGAGGGAGAGGGAGAGTGAGGAAGCTAAAAATCTATTGATCTAGGCATTTATTATTTTATATGTACAAGATTTATTTTATTTTATTATATTATTTTATTTACATGTTAATTTAATATCGAATTATTATATTGTTGGTATAATTAACATATTTTATTTTATTACTTAATATATATGGGATATATTTTAATATTAACACATGTGATTTTGGTTGATTTTAATAGTCTTTCTTGTTTAATCTGAGAAATTTTTGTAGTTCATTATCATTTACCCATAATAAATATTATTTATTTACGGCGAATTAGTATTGATTTTTTCAGCATTTCCTCGGTTTTTATTAAATTTTAGATATAGACATACCTTGTATATTGTATATATGTATATATTATAATTTTGTTGACTCACTTTAAGGGTTTTTCTTTTATTTTTTTATTTAACAAATTTTTTTAATTAATGTTCAGAAAACAATTAAAATATATACTTTACCATATATTATAATATTTTGTGGCTAATATTTATAATATTTCGTTTTTGTATATTTTTATATTAATTTTCAGATGTTTCTAATATATTTTTTCTTACTTATTTTTAGAATATATATTATTTATCTCATGGTTATTTTTTACACTTCCCAATTTGCTTGTTTGTATATATTTTTTTATATATTTAGTTATATATATATACATATATGTATATATACAATTTAATTTCAATTTTGTTTACTTAATTTTTGACTCATATTTATAGCAAAAATTCTAATCTGAGAGCATAACGCAATTCGTCGTGGCAAAATATTTTAAATTGTTTATTTTTTTCATTAACTTTTTTGTTGTTTGCTTGTAAAATTTAATTTCAAGGTTGTGTTGCCCTCTGGTCGTAAAAATTAATGAGAAATGCGACATGAACTTGAGCATACGTACGCGACTATATCTATAGCTATATATAAGTATATATAAATGGGAAATATGACAAATGCTCGACCTACGCCAACAGCTGAGATATACCAAATATCTTTTGCTCTCGCGCGCTGAAACGATTTTCTATAAAAATTCACTTGAATAATTAGTAATTTCTTTGGCAGGGTATCTTCGAGTGCAGAACATTTTGTTTTTCTTTGCATTGCAGTAGCATTTCATATGAGACGCCATTAGCGAGCCTTATCGAGGTTCTAGTAATAACTGTATCTACTAATTAAGCTCACTAATTGCTGAATGCGAATGCGAATGCGCATGGGCGTAAAAGCCCAGAGCTTACAGAATGTGCATGAGTCAAACAATAACTAAATACTAAACCGAATCTATTCAGCTTGGCATTGTGAATAATGCGTTGAGTCAGCCCAGCCTCAGCTACAAGCAATCATGTGATGTAATCATGAGCGTTGAGCTAATGCCTGTAATCGCATGCTGAACATGATAAGCATATGCATGTAAATATAAATATCATTATACATATGCATACATATGTATTTGTATATGTATATGGATATGCATTGAGTATATCGAGTCGGAGATGCAGGAGCATTGAATGAGCTGCACGACTGCAGTCGGCCTATGATGGCTATTATGCAAATAATTATGCTTAACTTGGCCAGTAACTAAATGCGTTGACAGACAAAGGAGGCCTGCAAACAGCACAGGCTTTCAGATATTCCAATTCGCAATAGAACAATAGATTAATTATCAAGACCCGACCGAACAAATCGAATACCTTTAGCAAACAATATTGCCTCCAAAGTTGCCTTCGAATTGAAGCGGAACATAATTAATGGAAGTGAATTCGAAATGAATGCAGATAAGATAAGATATGATATATAAGATATGAGATATAAAATATAAGATATAAGATATAAGATATAAGATATAAGATATAAGATATAAGATATAA